TGAAGCACAGCAAGAGAAACAAGGGCCACAAGGGCGATTACAAAACTGGCAGGTGTGTCACCAGGCGTCCCTGGTACTATCCTCAAGTCACGGAGCGCTTTGTTGGATGGAGCTCCACAGGCCTGCTCCATCATTTTGCACAAGATCAGGAACTCCGCACAAACACAAACACAAACAAAACACAAACACACAAACACACAAACACAAGCACAAGCACAAGCACAAGCACAAACACAAACACACACACAAACACCAACACACAGACAAGCAATGAAACAAACAAAGAAACACACAAAGCAAATCAAACAATCAAACAAGCAAACAAACAAGCAAACAAACAAACAAACAGACAAACGGACGGACTAACAAACCGACAAGCAAACACACATAATAAACAAAGCAACCGCACCAGCTATTGGGTCCCGACTTGGGAATCTTTGGAATCAAGTTGTTGTGCCTTGGCTCATGGATCAAGAAGTGCTACCCAAATGGCCATGGGTCAAAAGGCCGTCCCCCCAGTGAACATCCCAATCCAACTACTAAAATAGCCTAAAATGGGCGGTGAATTCGCCTACCCCAAAATGGGATCCCATTGGTGTTGACCCACGGCCATCTGCCAAATGGGGGGGGTTCCCATCTACCCTCCACAACAACTGGGGACCCGTTCAAATACCAGTTCCCACCTGCTATGGCTTACCTGACAAAGAGTTCACCCGTAACATGACAGTCATCCCAATCCCCACTAAAATAGGTTCCAAAATGGGTGAAAAGCACCTACCCCAAAATGGGATCCCATTGGTTTTGACCCACAGTGAAATCAACAATCCTGGTGGGTCAATGAAAACAATTTGCGATCCGATCGCGGGGCCGGTGCCTGCAGTGGCCGTGGCCCAGTCTCCTCAACAGGCCGCTGGCCTTCTCCCGCAGAAAGATTTCCTCAGCCAGAGGCCAGGCGGCGATCGCGGCATCTAGACTGACGCACAAAAGGGCCGCGCGCGCGATTCTTGCAAGGGAGAAGATCGAAAATCCAAGTGAGAAACAGATTCCAAACGAGCAGCCTGCGATTAAACATGGCCATTCCATCAATCTCACGGCACAAAAATGCCATGTGCGCGATGCCTGCCCAAGCAAGCGAACGGTGCTGGAGAGACACACCCACCTGTAGTTGCAACCCAGGATTAACAACCCCCCCCAATTGGATGAGTAGGGTCCCGTGTCATTCGGCCATGGGTCAAAATCCCAAACCTCCAGTGAACATCCCAATCCCCACTAAAGACTAAAATGGGTGGTGCACCTACTCCGAAATGGTACCATTGGTTTTGACCCACAGCCATTTTACAGAGAGCATACTTTTGGAGGTCCACCCGCATTTCTCATCGGCGCCAACACACACCAACAAGGTGAATCAACGAATCACCAACACGACTCAACTCACAGTGTGGCATATTGCAAACCTGAGCATTTGACCAACATCCGTTTAATCATTGTGTGTGTTTTCTACTTGTGCAATTTCATGGTTTCTTAATTGAGTGGAACACCTTGAGACCATAACGCCACCGGATTTCACCAGGAAGTTAAACATGCACAGTCTTCAGCATGTAGATGTAACACGAACACACCAACACAGCGAAACATACATAGACTCACAGCTTTGTGGTGCTGTCCACTCAATCTGCACGCACCTTGAAGCTTCGCGTTTGTTGTCATGGCCTGCAGTGTCCACATTGAACTTCAGCAAACATGTTTTGGAATCGGTTTTGCAAAGCGCAGAGTTGATTTCCAAATGTCACCGAGTCACCTTGCAATGCACGGTGGCAAAATCCGTTTCGCACCACCGAAGAAAACCTGGAGTGATTCAATGCCCCTGTCAATACCAGCAAACAATGGTTCCACCCATGGCTTGACAGTGGTGCGAACGGATTCCGTCCATCCACAGCATCAATGGCGATCTGTGCAAAACATGGAAAACCTGCCTCACGCTGCAAAGCTCCGGCAGTTGCAGCCTCAAAACCTAGGCCTGGACTGGACTGAAATGCAATGGTGGTGTGTCACACCTGCTCTCAGACCCCTGTATATATACATATATATGGGTGTGGCTCAAAATTAAACAGGAGGGGTTACGAGGTTTCGGTCCATGTTTCCACTTACCAGGGTTCCATTTTGGTACCGGATTTTGGAGCCACAGCGTCTTGCTGCCTGAGCGTCAAGCCCTTGCAAACTAGTTGAATTCCTTCGTGAAAAGCTAGCCTTTCCAAACAAGCAAAAAAGGAGTGTGCTGCTAGAGCATGCTAGAGCAGGGTGCAGCCCGTGGATACTGGACATGCTTAGCAAGGAAATTAGGCTTCCCCAATGTGTCAATCATTTCCCATCCTGGTGTTGGCTATGTCCTGATTTCCCTCCTTCCGCGACAAGGTGGTTTCTAACTCTACTCCTGGCATGATTCCTGTACCAGTCACATTTCAACCAGATGCTCCCAAGCAATAATCGGGTGACATGTTGCTCTTTGAAAGAACAAAACGTCACAATCTAGAACATGTACTCGTTTCCCCACATGAGGGATTGAGGGCGCCTGAGTAGTGGAACATGTTATTCTTAACCTGGGGTTGGGCTCCGTACGCCTCACGGAAAAATGGTTCCCATCATCCGAATTGGTCTCAGACCAAAGTGGAAGCTGGAAGCTGGCTATTTACCAGCCAAAACGGCAAGAACAACTCTAGGCGTAGAACCACACAGGGGCTTGCAACCGGTTGACGTCACCCTCCATTCTGGGGTGTCATTTTGAGGCTACCCTTTTGTGTGGGCTTGCAAAAAGGGAAGGCAACAACCACCCGGCTTGTTTTTTGGGGGGATCCTAAAAGCAAGCACACGCCCGTGTTTACCCCTTTTGTGTGGCTTTTAAAGGGAAGCCAAGAGGAATGCCACTGGGGAGGGACGCAAACAAAAAAAGGCACAGACCCATTTTGGGAGTTTTCAAGCAACTTCCATTTGGTTAAGGCCCTAGGAAAACAAAGTCCAGTAGTGATGAATTCCTTTTAAAACCAACAAGGGGAAAAAATGTAATATTCATTTCAGCAAATGGAGGGCAAGGATCATCGCAGAGCTTCTTGGCAGAGATCTCGTCCATGAAGAGAGGTCCGCTGCTGCCCGTGTACTGGCGCCTGAACGCCCGCATCCGAACGCGGCCCATGCTCACGCCTTAAGTCTTTGCATCCCTTGGGTGTCTTCTTCCCCAAACAGCGAAGCATTGGGGTTCTAACTTGAGGTATAGAGAATGGGAAAGTGTGACGCCAGTTGCGGGGTCCTGTTTTCCGCTTGTCTTCCTGTCTCCCAGTCGATGCCAGATGCTGTAACGGTCGTGTCTCCCGCTTGTCTCCATGTGTTTCCCACTTGTCTCCCTGTGTCTCCCAGTCTCTGCGGTCAGACGCCAGATGCTGTGACGCTGGCTCCGGGGTCGTGTCTCCCGCGTGTATTCCTGTGTCTCGCAGTTTCTGCGATGCTGTGACGCTGGCTCCGGGGTCGTGTCTTGTCTCCCTGTGTCTCCCAGCTTCTGCAGTCAGAGGCCAGATGCTGTGACGCCGGCTCCCGGGGTTGTCTCCCGCTTGTCTCTCCTGTGTCTCCCAGTCTCTGCGGTCAGATGCCAGATGCTGTGACGCCGGCCCCACTTGTCTCCCTGTGTCTCCCAGTCTCGTCTTGTCTCGTCTCCCACCAGTGTCTGTGTCCTGCTTTCCCTGTCTCTGCGATGCTGTGACGCTGGCTCCGGGGTCGTGTCTCCCGCTTGTCTCCCTGTGTCTCGCAGTCTCTGCGATGCTGTGACGCTGGCTCCGGGGTCGTGTCTCCCGCTTGTCTCGGCTCCGGGGTCGTCTCCCGCTTGTCTGTCTCCGGGTCATATCTCCCACTTGTCTTGCTGTGTCTGGACGCCAGATGCTGCGTCGTGTCTCCCGCTTGTCGTTTGTCTCCCAGTCTCTGCGGTCGGATGCCAGACGCTGTGACGCTGGGGTTGTGTGTCTCTCCCCGTGTCTGGATGCCAGATGCTGTGACGCTGGCCCGAGGTCGTGTCTCCCGCTTGTCTCCCAGTGCCCGCTTCTCTCCTGTGTCTCCCAGTGTCTGCGGTCGGACGCCAGCCGCTGTGATGCCGGCTCCGTCTCCCGCTTGTCCTTTGTCTCCCAGATGCTGTGACGCTGGGCTCGGGGTGTGTCTCGCAGTCTCTGCGATGCTGTGACGCGGTGTCTCTCAGCTTCTGCGGAGGCCAGATGCTGTGACGCCGGCTCCGGGGTTGTGTGTCCCGCTTATTGTCTCTGCCAGACGCTGGCTCCGGGGTCGTGTCTCCCGCTTGTCTCCCTGTGTCTCGCAGTCTCTGCGATGCTGTGACGCTGGCTCCGGGTCGTGTCTCCCGCTTGTCTCCCTTTCTGCAATCAGAGCCCAAATCCTTTCACGCCGGCTCCTGGGTCGTGTCTCCCGCTTGTTTTCCTGTGTCTCCCAGTCTCTGCGATCAGATGCCAGATGCTGTGACGCCGCCGGCTTCGGGGTCTCCCGCTTGTCTCCCTGTACTCCCAGTCTCGTCTCCCTGTGTCTCCCAGTCTGTGCGGTCGGATGCCAGATGTGACGCTGGGTACGGGGTCTCCCGCTTGTCTCTCTGTGTCTGGATGCCAGATGCTGTGACGCTGGCTCCGGGGTCGTGTCTCCCGCTTGTCGCTTGTCTGTGACGCTGCCTCCGGGGTCGTGTCTCCCGCTTGTCTCCCTGTGTCTCCCATCTCCCGCTTGTCTCCTTCAGATGCTGTGATGCTGGCTGCGGGGTCGTGTCTTGCGCTTGTCTCCCAGATGCTGACGCTGGCTCCGGGCAAAACCAACTGAAGCTGCTTCTTCTTTGCGAGTGTTGGGGCTGACCTTGCTTGCTGCCAGCTGGCTGTTTTTAATGCTTACATCCCTCAACCAAAAAAATGAAGGTCCCGGGCCCCGGGCAAAACTAATTGAAGCTGCTTCTTCTTTGTGAGTTTTTGAGGCTGACCTGGCTTGCTTGGCATCCAGTAACCGGCGTTCGGCTCCCTTCGGCTCCTTTCGGCTCACGTGGCATTAGCGCGCAAGCGCAATTGAGAAGCATCAAAAGCAGTCCAGTTAGAAGCATAGATTCGAAGTGAGAAGGAACGACTTGCGAAAATGAATAGCAGTGGGGAAAGGGCATGTCGCAGATTGTGCTGTTAGCCTGTGTGCAAAGGATGTACCTCTCTCTTGGTCAAGAGCAGGTTTGCATCCTTGTGGAGCATCGTTGGAGCTAGAAGCAAGCAATGTTGAGCTTTGAATATGTCTATTTTTCTCGGTAAACAAACAAATCGTGACATTTGGCTGATGGCTTTGCTCAGGAAACTGAGCTGCTTTTTAGAAGCCAGTGCCGCACTTCTTGGCCACGTGCAGGTTTGCATCCTTCCTGTCAAGCCCTAAATATGTCTATGTTTCTCAAGCGAAAATATACTGTGACATCCGGCTGATTGCTTTGCTCGGGACACTGAGCTGCTTTTTGGAAGCCAGTGCCGCACTTTTTGGTCAAGTGCAGGTTTGCATCCTTGTGGCGCATTAGCAGAGCCCTTGTCGAGCCTTAAATATGTAGACTGTTTTCGATAGACCAATACCGTGACATCCGGCTGATACTGAGCTGCTCTGTGGAAGCCAGCGCCGCACTTCTTGGTCAGCTGCAGGTTTGCATCCTTGTGGCGCATCAGCAGAGTGCTTTGCTCAGGATTCTGAGCTGCTTTTCGGAAGCCAGTGCTTCTGGCGCATCAGCAGAGCCCCCTTGAATATGTACTGTTGTTCTCGATAAACAAATACCGTGACATCCGCATCCTTGTGGCACATCAGCAGAGCCCTGTCGAGCCTTTAATGTGTCTGTTTTCTCGATGAACAAATATTGTGGGACATCCGGCTAGGATACTGGGCTGCTTTTGGAAGCCAGTGCCGCGCTTCTTGGCCAAGTGCAGGTTAGCATCGACCGCGGAGACACACTTAGCGCTGTCGGACTTCTGGCGGGGACACGGTGTAAAAAGCGGTTTCTTGACATGTTTTCCTGTTGGCATTTTTCCGGCTGACATCTTCTAACAAGAAAGCATTCGTGGAGTTGACCAGACTGGGCTGGCATTTGCGAGTGCTGGCCATGAATGCAGGTGCGCAGGTGGACAAGTGGCAGACAATTGAGGGTTTCCGGCTAAACACAAAGCATTTAGCTTGGACTTTTGCAGCGCTGTGATGGTGAGGGTGGATGAGGAGGATTCTGTTGATTCTGTGGCTGATGAAGGTGGTGACGATGATGATGATGATGATGGCGATGAGGGTCAGGATGACGAGGATGAGGAGGATGATGAGGAGAAGGAGGGTGATGATGAGTGTGATGGTGATGAGCCACAGAGAAGTTGACGGTTTCGTTGACAGTTTTGCTCTGAGTCAACAAGCCCTTGGAATGGAGAAGGGGCACGGCTCCACTAAGCATTTTACCAGCGAAGCAACAAGAGGGCTTGCGCGGGCCAGCCACCATCTTAGCCAAAATCGTATGAAGCGGGGGGAGGGGGGCTCTAGGCAACAGCGCTGCAGGAAAGACCTCCAGCGGATGACACCAGCAAGTTGCGCAAGCAAAATGCCACTAGCAAAATGGCGCAAGCCAGTAGCAGCTCAGACAACTTGCTCATTGAAACTTGTTCAGAGAAACTTGCTCTGAGAACTTGCTCAGATAGTTTGTGCCAAGAACTTGCTTGGAGAACTTGCTCAAAGGAACTCGCGCCAACAACTTGCTCAGAGGAACTTGCGCAGAGAACTTGCTAGGATTACTTTGTGCCGTGCACTGCTCATGCTTTCGGGCCACCCATCTTCTAGTTTTCTCTTGGTAGCATCACTGTTGTTCGAGCACCCTTTCTTGTTGGCAGTGCTGTTGTAAACCTCGCCTCCTATCTTGTTGCCAGTAGTTAGCACCTTCTCAGTTGGATAGCCATGTGGCCTGGCCAAAATCATATCCAGTCTTTCGCTAGCTGGTCCTGCGACGTTTTTCCCTCTTTGCAACCTATGTACTCCAGTCCCACTGACAAACGCATTTTGCTGAAGCATTGCACACATTTGTGATGCCAAGCTCGCGGCTTGACGTATCTCGTTGCCTCCTGACAGAGGGGTTGAAGACAGATTTCCCATCCTTGTTTTCCACATATTCTGCAATATGGACGCTGCTGTTTTGCACGTCTCCGAAAGTGCTCAGGGCTTGCAAGTGCGAGAGGGCTAAAGGGCTTTCATGGGGACGTCGTAAGGTGCCATTATCATTCTCTGAGGCGCTAGCTTCCCTGCAGTCTCTGGACCCATGGAACACCAAAACGGTTCAACGTGAGCTGTACTGCATGGCGCTTGTGCTAGCCTCACGCAGTGAGTATTTTTGGAACTCCGAGCAATTCCATTCTCGCAATCCACGTTCTTTTCCGAGATCTCGACTTGAATTTGGCAGCTCCGGGCGAGATGCTGATTTACTTGCTCGCAGCATACGTGGCTTGTCGGGAAACCAAGCTGGAGGGATGTGCTGATAGCATCAAGACCATCGCTCACCGAAGCAACACGTGCTAAAGACACGGCCCCTCCAGTTCTTCTTTGACGACACAGCTTTGCCTCCACTACGCCTTGAACATCGATTCCGACCCGTTCTCGCACAAGGTTTCGGTGCTGCTGGACACACTGCGTGCGTGGCGAACTCCCCAGCAACTATTTCGGAATGGTGGCTCTGGTTCTCAATGTGGTAATTGCAACACACGGTCATGGCCATGTTTCGACACATGTTCGGTGGCTGTATAATCTAATAAGAGTTGCTAACGCCGCAGTCTGCAAGTTTATGCAAGTTCTCTCTTGCTTTGCTTGTGGCAAGACCTTTAGCCGAGCTTCAGAAGAAGATAGCAACCAGAAGTGGCATGTGCCCAGCCTCGGCCGCAAGCTGCTGAGACTGATGCGCAAGTTTCAGCAGAGTAGCGAGACGGCCACCAACTGCTGCGGTGATGGAAAAGTGCATTGAGTGTCCGTGCTACGGAAGTTCCTTCGAAACTTCCTTTGATTAATGCCAGGTGTTGGGTTGATTCACCCCGAATCCCTGAAGCCTTCACTCTCGAACATGGCATTGACATGGCATTTTCCTCCTCAAAGTCGATGAACAACATCGATGCTTTTAACCGGCGTCAAGGAGATAGATGGACCCGATGTGTCCTCTTCCCAAAAAAGGGGACTTCCTACATGGACACACATAGACTGATTGTAACTATGTGTTGCTCACATAAGCTACTCAATTTCGCACCTTACATGAAGGAGACAAGCCTTTTTTGGGTTATGCAGACCTGTCATGTTTTTTTGCTGTTTGGGGTCGAGGCTGGTGTAATTAAGCACAGACCCCCTAAAATGGCTGCGGTTTCCCTTTTGGCGTTTCGTTTACCACACCCAAAAAACGGGTACCCGCACAAAAGATGGACAGCTCAGAAGCGTGCTCTATAATTACAAAAAAGGTTGGTGTCATTGAAAACAGCACCCTTTTGAAAACCGGCGCCAAGTTGTGTGACAGGACGCACATCGCAAATCTAGGGGTTGATTTCCCACGGTGTTTTGTAGTTTTCTAGAAAGAAGGATCCCTGGAAAGAATGGGGAAGCTACCCTTAGAACAAAGGCTTCACCAAGGCTGGTCTGTGCCACTCCTGAGCTGTCAAATCCACGGCAGTATCCCACTCCATCAGGGCCCTCGATTTGTTTTCAAAGTCCTCTGAAGCTGCGAAGGACGATCGACACAGTCTAGCTTGCTTCCATTTGCTTAAGCCCCCCAGCAAAAAATAAATAGCGATACATTCCCTTTAAACTACCAGGGGAAACTAAACATCTTCTTGAAGCTCAGAGGGCATCTGCAATTGCGTACTTTCATTTAGTCGACGAGATTCGACCATGGTCATGACAACCCGAAAAATTATGCAATTCACCAACCTCAAATCCTCATTCACCCCACGCAACAATGTGGCATTGTCATTTCAAGTGATGCAGCCAACAGGCAACTGATCAGTGTTGTTCTTGATTGTCGCCCGGAAAAGTGGCAAAGAGTGGCTTTCCCGCTAGTTTGTCTGACTCTGACAGTTCACTGCACTGATTCATCCTTCACGCAGTTGCCTTTGCCTCTTCCGTGACGCTTGGAAGAGCTAAAGCTGGCCCCTTCTTAGATCCTGTGCCCAACAACTCGCAAATGTAAGACCTCCAAGAAAGGACGCCATGCTGTCAAAGCGTGGGCCTTGCCCCTTGCCCCCTTTCCACCCCGCCCCCCCAACACCAACAAAAACCAGACCAGCCCGTACCTTGTTCAAAGCACAAAAAAGAACCTACATGCCCAACGCTTGCACGAAGGGGTCCCTTACCCGCGAAAAAAACTTTTGAAAGCGCCCTGCCTGGTGTGGTACATGAGACTGACCAGCTCAAACGCTGGGGAGTAGTCCTCCGCTTTGGTGGGCATCTCCTTCGGATCACCTCGAGGCCATCTCTCACGCGAGTGGCCCCAAAGGGACGATCGAGTCGGTCATGTGGCTGTGGGTCAAGAACAGGTACCAAATCTTATCCCTTAAAACTCCAAGCATTGGGGAAGTTAATCTTTTAGAGACATATAGCCCATGTTACCCAAAAAGTTGAAAAGTTGTGTTTTTAAGAGGTAAGAAATGGAAGCCCGGTAAATCGAAAGGACCCATACCCATGTCAGGGAAGTGGTTGGCACTCTGCAGGTCAGCAGCAGGTCCGTTTGAGAAAATTGTGAAGAGCATGGTCTTCCCGGGGTCCTACTTCAAGGGGTAGGGTACTTAGGAAGTGCTTAGTAAGCCTGGTGAAATAGCCCACAAAAGCCAGAGTTTTTCAGTCTCCGTTCAGTGGGCTATCTCATCAGGGTTACTCTGACCACCTACCTAACGTACCGAATCGATCGCCCATTCAAGTCAGCGGGTTCGGGCACAGGCAAGAAATGCCAGAAATTGTGACACACACACACACACACAGAGCAGCGGACTGCACAGAGGTTGCACAACAGCCTCATCACAAGATGCAGTGCACACTTTGCATCCTGTCATTCAACTTTGCAGCCCCCGCCAAACATATATATATATATATATATACATATAATCAATTCCACACCCACCTCGGAAAACTTTCCAAACGACACAAAGTCGATTCCGTTAGAGGATAAGCTGAAGCATTTCTTTCTTCCACATACAATCTTTCAATGTGCACAATTTCCCCTCAGAGAAACTAGGTCCTCAGACTAAGGGTACCCTTTTTTCTGTAGTCTCCTTTAGTAGGGGACTACTGGGGGACCTAGGAAAGACAAGGTTTCGGCCGCGCATGCTTGCCGCGGTTCAGCTGAATTCGCGCCCGGATCGATCTCGCCATGAGAGATCCGGGGTGCGGGAAATGGAATTTATTTTTGTGGCTAACAAAAAGGGCTTCCCAAAGACGAACCCCCGAAGAAAGAGGGGGAGATGTCCCACAGAAGTGGTTGGATCAACCCCTTGTGATCCCAAAGCCCTGTGAGAGATTGATCAAAACCACTAGCTGGCCTGATTCCCGTGAGTGTAGACGTGGGGCTGTTTTCCTTTTGATCCACCTGATTCTGATGATCTGCGGGGTTGTGCAATGCTGTAGAGGCGTGCAGTGAGGCATCCTGAAACATGCGACTCATGTCCTGCTTCGACACGGCCCGTCCGAGGCCCAAAGCCCCGATGTGTTCTTCGCAAAAGGACGCAAAACAAGACTGGAACCCCAGCCCCGGTTTCTTGATGCATTTCTTGACGCATGAACTTTACGGGGCCCGAATGAATTGGGGCCCGGCTTCATGGTGTTTTCACGTTGGATCAAGAAATGTGGAGCAACTCGAAGAAAGGATGGGGCAGTCTTCAGCCGCAACGCCACATCCAATCTTGCCTACCCAATAGACCGGATAAGTCAAAAAACTGCCTATTCGACAAATTTGCGGATTTGGTTTATTGGGTAGGTCCTCCAGTAGAGGTTAGAATAAGTTGGTACCGCTTCTTTTTTTTGGAGTCGATTTTAGTAGGGGGGTTTCCTCCGCCAAAAATGGGTGAGAAAGGGCACTGGGGGACCTAGTTGACGAACCTCGGCAGCAACCTTTGCTCGGCCTTCCATCCATCTGCCTGTGAACTAAGCTCACCAAACCCTGCCACCCAGTCCTCAACCCTTCAGCTGAGATGCAGAGTCGAACTGCGCTCCAAGGGATGTAGCCCTGGAAGGGGAAGCAAATCTCAGCAAAGCCTGGCAACGGCATGAGTTGCTTCCCCAAAACTCAGCGTGGGAAAGCCATGATGGCTGAAGTCAGATGTCCGATCTTCAAAAAGTCAGCAGCACCTATGAACCTGGATTGCCATCGATTGCCATGTTGCCTAGGTCCTCCAGTAGTAAGGGTACCAACCTTTTTTTTCTGTAGTCTATTTTAGGAGGGGAACCCACCTAGCTGGGCGACCTAGTTAGCTCCAGGCCCCGCGCAGAGCAAATACTGTCGCCTTCCTAGCTACGCCGCTACAGCTTTTGACACAAGCTTGACGATATGTTTTTTTGGTGGCTGCTTGTCGTTGGCATGGTGAAGGTCGCTGGCCAACTTTGGGATTTCTTGTCTGATGTTGGTGGCTTAAGGCTTAGCAGCTGTCAATTGTCACTACTCTGGGCTGCCCTCAGATCCCTCGCTAAAAGTTAGATTTTTAGTGGGTTAAATGGAAATCCCCACTAAACACTAAAAAGCTAAAAGCTAAGGGGATGACTGGGACCCCCCAAGTACTGCAACATATCTTCTGAAACATAACACCCTGTGGCGATCGCACCAGCCCTGACAGCTCCAACAAGCAACGGCGGCAAATCAGACCTAAGTCCTCCAGCAGAGAGGTTAGAATAAGGGTACCGTTTCTTTTTTCTGTAGTCTATTTTAGTAGGGGAACCCTTCCCCAAAAAAGGTAAAAGGGCACAACTGGGGGACCCAGAGACTGTTTTGGCAACCAAATCCTCAACATGTTGACTTGCACTTAACCCACTCGAAGAAGGACCGCCGCTGCTACCAACAAACACAGTGTATTACAACAGCACGGGGTGCGACTTGACCGCGAATAACATGTCATAAAGCCATGCCAAGTGAAGACCAGCAAGCAGTGGTGACTTTAAGCACAAATGCCAGTGCATCATCGGTCACCCATCTCAAAGTTCGGGACCACATGAGAATCAAGCTAGTTTACCTTGCGAAAGCTATCGGAGCCACATCCAATGCGCTAGTTGAAAGCCAACAATGCCGCCTTTCCACGAAGATTTGCAACCTGACACATTCAGGCATTTGGCATGACAGGACCAGCCGCAGAAAGGCGTTCGTCTCGATTGAATTAGCGTGACACAGGGCTGAGGGAAATACCACTGAGAGACAAAAGAAGCCTTCTCCCAAAGACTACCCCCCCAAAAAAAAAACAAAATAATGAGGGGGAGAGCTT